CTTCTAGTGTGGGATCCAAAACACAGCAGACGTCGACTAGGAGGACCGCCTGCATCATGGAGGAACAAATTAGAGGTAGATCTGCATATTAGGTGAGGAATATTTACTTCTGCAATGTAACTAATAGACGCCTTACAGTGAAGGTGTTGAAATGCTCGGTTATAGCTCGCATCACACACCAAGAATGTTCTGCTTATGTAAAACGGCTCAAGACATTTATTTCCAGTTAACGGGTAGAGTACACTCGACCGTACGCAATTGCAATTCGTATAAGATAACTGCTACATAACACCCCTGCCGCAAGAAAACACTCAAAAATTGTTTCTATATTTACGGTAAAGCAAAATGACGCTACACCATGGACATGAGTGCTAGAGGACAACTGAAGTCAACATCCGAAATCTCATGTATTTTCATCATGCCCCCCTCCCGATATTTTGCACAGCACAAGTTCTTGGAGAACAACTCAGCAATATTGTTGGAAAAAGCAGTTGCATATTAATGTTTGTGCCAAAAATACTTTTACAACTGAAATATCTGGATGTTTCGACATGTTCTTCGGTGATGACTATCAGCATCTTTCTTACCGATACATAAGACTGCTTCCTGATTATTTAACAGCTGATTCATCAACAACCATAAACAGTCAGTGAATTGACATTGCCACTGAGAGACGATCAGAATAAGATTAAGTTCTGAGTCACAAAACTTAAACTATCACAAATAGTTCCAATCCAAACGGCATTCAAAGTAATCGAGGCTTAACCATAAATGGAGAATAACACCATCATCACCTTGGCTGTTGCCGCGAATCTGTCTTTTTGCCCGTGCAGCTTATATCACCTAAACGCTCAGCACAAACCGGCGAACTGTTCCTACCTTACTGATCATGGCCATAAATACAAACGGAACATTACACACTGCACGTGATGCACAACTGCAGATTTTACCTTCACACAGCAAGCATGCTTGTCTGGCAGTAGCAAAGCATTTCCTTCATTGCCCTATTGATGATGAGCCAATAAGATAATCAATAATCCTCATTATTATCATCTTCATTGTCATCCGTTTCATCACCGCAAACCGAAGGCCCTAAGCTGCACTTGCTACATCACTAAACATATAGCCTTTAAACTTCGCAAATAACGCATCACAGCGTGATAGCACATCGTACATAATCGTCTTTTCAATTCTGATTATCATTATCATTTACAACAAAATTATCGCTATTATCACCATTATCATCACTATCGGTTCGAAGGTAACCGCCAACTTTGAATTGTTGATGGACAACTCTGATATGCTGCTCATAAATAATACAGTTTTCGTCATCACCGCCGTGCTAATGAAGAACCCCCAAATCATCAGCATTATTAACAGCAATGATCATCACTGCCGAATTACGCATGCGCTGGCTTATACTTGTCTGTCAAATTACAGTGACTACGGGGATGACACCACCGAGCTGGAGAAGAGGAGCAGGAGTTGCACTCCCCTGTTCAAGAAGGAAGATCACAGGGAGTGCACCAATTATTGCGGCATTACCTTATTGGGCCTCCCTGGTAGTCTGCGCAAAGGTGCTAAAAAAGAGGCACCGCGGAATAACTGATTACCAGATACAAGAAGAACAGTGTAGCTTCTGGCCCGGTCGAAGAACCTCTGACCACATATTTGCCCTTCGCCAGATTTTTGAGAAATCATGGGAGTACGCCCAGCCGC